GAAAATTATTCTTATTAACGTGTATGGATACAATAACAGGTCGCTAAATAGAAATATGATGTCTAACTTAAGTAAATTAATTGCAAAGTGGAGTACTACATATGGTTCTACCCAGGTGATAACTGGAGGCGATTTTAACCTGGCTCCTAACTCATGGCTTGACAGACAACCACAAAGAGGAAATCAACCAGAACACGATAGCATTATTTGTGACTTTTGTACGACAACCAATATGATCGATTATTGGAGGATGACAAACCCAAATACGAAGAAATATACTTGGTTTAGTCCATCAAATAAAAACGTATGTTCAAGATTAGATTATTGGCTTGTCTCCCAAACAGTATCATCATATGTTACGAAATGTGAGACCCAGTCAACCCCACTTACTGATCATTGTCTGATAAGTCTCTTATTATCTCTACGTAAACAACAAAGATCTGACAACATATGGAAATTTAACAATAGTTTATTACAAAACGAAGACTTCTGTAAACAAGTTAAAGAACTTAAATCAGAAATTAACAATATGAGCATGACTAATGTCAGTAAATGGGAATGGTTTAAATATAATGTGAAACAATTAGCTATAGAAACGGGAAAGAAAGTGTCTGCCCTACGCGTATGTGAACAGAAAAATCTAATTGAACAAATTCATTTATTATGTGGTAAACCCTGTATGACTGCGGAAGAGTCAGAACGCTTACAAACTTTACAAAATAAGCTAGATGAGGTGTACTTGATTAAAGCTAAAGGAGCATATGTAAGGTCTAGAGCCAAGTGGATTGAGCATGGAGAAAAAAATTCATCTTATTTCTATAGTCTAGAGGAGCGTAGACAAACAAAGAAAAAAATAACTAAATTGAGTAAGGATGGTACTATAATTGAGGAACCAAACAAAATAAGTGAGGAAATTAACATGTTCTATAGTAATCTGTATAAATCAAGAACTGAAAAAGAAAATGCAGATATGTTTTTGATATGATTAAAGATCAGGTTAAAAAATTGGAAGAGGATGATAAAACATGGTTAGAAGAAGATTTGAAAATATCCGAATTAGATACAGCTCTAAAACAAATGAAAAATGGAAAATCGCCTGGAATTGATGGTTTAACGATTGAATTTTATAAAACCTTTTGGCAAGACATTAAAGATTTGTTATTTAATGGCTTTTTGGATTGTTTAAAAAAATGAAGAACTATCCCCAACAATGAAAACAGGATTAATAACCTTATTACCCAAACCAAACAAAGATTTACAAATGCTAGACAATTGGAGACCCATAACACTTTTATGTAACGACTACAAATTATTAGCCTTAGTATATGCAAATAGGCTTAAAAGCGTCTTAACCAAATTGATTGATGAGTGCCAATCAGCGTTTATTAAAAGGAAGGCAGATTCATAATAACATAAGATTAATATTAGATATGATTGACTATCGATCCTTTATTAATTCAGAAAGTTTAATACTATTTATTGACTTTTTTAAAGCATTTGATTCAATAGACCATAATTTTTTATTTAGATCTTTAGAACTTTTTGGATTTGGAAACAAATTTTGCAAAGTGATCAAACTGTTCTACAAGCAAATTTATAGTTATGTTTCACTCAATCCAGGCATAACATCTAGGATAGACATATTCTGTGGAATTCGACAGGGTTGCCCAATTTCTCCAAAATTATTTATTCTTTGCACTCAATTAATGGCTTACCTCATTGTGAACCATTCAGACATCGAAGGAATAAACATTTTTGATATTGAACTGAAAATAAGTCAGTTTGCAGATGACACAGTAATATTTTTAAAGGATAAATCAATACTCGAGAAAGCATTGAATGTCATTTCAATTTTTTCCTAAAGCTTCAGGCTTGTGTCTGAACCTAAAGAAGTGTGAACTTTTGCCACTTTATGATTGTTTGGAAAATAGCATGAGGACGATTCCAGTGAAAAATGAAGTTAAGTATCTAGGCATCTATTTAGACAAAGACATCAACACTACACTGTAAAAAAATATTCCGTAGAAAAACAGAAAATGTCCTGGTAATTTTCTGCCAGTACATTTTCTGTTTTTTTACGGAGGTTTGACGGACCTTTCTGTAAATGATAAAACGGAAAATTCTGTAGATTTACAGTATACTCTCTGTACTATTTACGGACATTTCCTTCAGCTATAAAACAGAAAATTCCGTTTATTCACAGTATATTTTCTGTATCATTAACTGATATTTTCCGTTAATAGAAAAATTGAAATTTCTGTTTATATTACTATTTCCAAGCACTTCTTTTCACTGTAACTCATTAAATATAGTTCTTTATATCCTTAAACGTACATTTCTATGCAATTACAACCTAGTACACCATGTACTCAAAAATTCATAAATTAAAACTTAAATTAATTTGTGCTTCGTACACAACAACATTGGTACAATTAATGTTAAATATTCTTTTATTCTCCTTAACTCAAACACTATACTTAAATATAATGACAGCATCCATCTTGTCATAAAACTACTAAACAGCTGATACATGAACAAAATAACTCACAAGCTTTCAAATTTGAGCATTTTTATTTCCTTGAAATCAGGTTGCCCTCATGTAAATGTGTTTATTTACATTCATTCAAGTGGCTACCAAGTGTTTTCTTCAAACAGGACACCTGACAAACAAAAAATGTCATATTTAACGACATGTTCACATTTAATAATATCCAGAGTACCTTTTAGTTAGAATCACTGCCTTGTGGTAGTTTTGCCTCAGCCAAATGGTTAAGGTGTGGTTTACATCCATCTCTGTCCACTTATGATACAGTATACACATGTAGTCAGTTATAGCCAAACACCTTTGATTACTGAATTGCATTCACTTCATTAATGAAGTGAATGTAATTCACATTTGTGTGAACATTTGTCTGAGATTAACTCTTTGGGCTCTTTACCTTACAATATAACATACTTGAGTCAAAATTTGTTGACTGTTTAAGTGGTGCCACATGAATACAACTGAACAGATCTAAAGAAGATGTTCCTGAACTTTGGGTTTATTCGAACAGGACTGATGGATAACCACAGGACTTTTCCCCATATGATAACTACAACACATAATAAATTAAGACAGATTACTGTCCCAAACTTAAAGATAAAAGTGTATTTATGGGACTTGTTTTGTCAGTGAGGAGCAAAGTATAATTAGAAGTGCTTGTTCTGATGAAAAGTTAAACTGTAAACAGCAGCATAGTGAATAAGGATCTGTGTCCACGAATCCTCAGCAGTGACAACACTTAAACATCATAGTTCAAAATCCTTAATGCACACCTTTTTCTCCACGGTGTTCAAATTCTCTAAGCTGTTTAAGTAGAGGAAAAAGTCTGACATATTTCATGACCATTAAATGTTAGACAAGGCTCTGAAAACGAGGTTACAGTTACAAACAAAAACCTCTGCTTGTGCGCACAGACCCTAAATCACAACAAATAAGACAATAGTAAGACAAATTACTACAAAGTCTTGTTACCGCTCTTCATATAACAGTGTGACAAAGTCCTGAATGCAGCCTGCATGTTAGTACATCAAGGTCCATCTGAGCTTTAAGTAAAATACACTCAGCTTTTCCTTGGATTTTAAGAGTTGCTCAGTTCATACAGGAACTGCAGCAGTCGGAGTTAACGTGTCGCTGTGTTGCTCCTCCGTGTCAGCCATTGAGACTAGTCGCAGTTTATTCTGAGGAAAAAAAGAGAAACAAGACATTTTTAAAAAGTTTGTATTTTTATAAATTTTTTTTACCTAGAGCATAAACAACATAAACAAAAAAAGGATTAGGGCTGTGCGATATGACGATATATATCAGATTACGATATAAAAATGTCTATCGTTTCATGTTATACACTATTCTTTGTTTTGTGGTGTTGCAAAATAAACTGTTTACGGCAATATTTTTTTCATGGTTTTGATGGTCACTGTAGTTGCTATATTATTTCTTAAAGTTCTCTCCTTCTCTTATACTTAAAATAACCACACTATGGACGGACAAGTGACTGTTTTTACGCGTACTTTCGTTACCAACAATGAGGATAAAACCATCGTGTGGCTCCGCCGTCCGCTTGTTTATTTTCCACATAAACCTTTCACAATAAAGCTCAAGTTTCTGTTGAGACTTTTCAAACTAAACTGAAATGATATACATTATTCTCAAACATAAAATTTCAGAATATGCATCAAACAAATGACCTCAAATAAAAACATCAAGTAACTATAAATGGCGCTTACAGTCACCACGCAGATGAAGGCACAGAGAATACCAGCATGGCCAGCAAGGATGAGGCAGAACCAGAAGGACCAGTCAAAAGAAATCGAGGACCTTATTGTTAAATGAGGGGCTACCTCTGTAGCATGGACATGGTTTGGTTATGAAAAGTCTGACACGCCCCAGAAAACTGTACTATGCAAATTATGCCACAAACTGGTCCCCACCACCACTCGAACACGACAAACCTCTTTAACCACCTACACAAGAATCACATGAAAGAGTTTCGAGAGAGTTTACGAATGAAAAGCAAAAAAGAGTCGTCAGGTGCTCAAAATAATCCTTAGACTCAAACGTTAGAACAGGCTTTTCCTTGCAGCACGCCGTCTAATAAATACTCAGAAAGAAAATGGCGGCCATTTAAACTCATGTCTAAAAATGTATAGTTTCATGCATCGGTCAAAACACTCGACTCCAGGTACACGACGCCCAACTGAAAACATTTCACATAAGTCGAGTTGCCCGAGAATCACAGAATTTACAGAAAATGCACTATTTTGTGATATATATCGTTATCAGGAGAGATAAGTCTTATATTGGGATATGAGACTTTGGTCATATCACGCAGCCCTACAAAGGATTATAATTCACGTAGAGTTGCATACACATAACACCATTCTGTTGCAACAAAAGCAGTTTATAATTAAAGTAACATACATACCTTGAAAAACTAAATCAACCACAACATTAAACTCACCTTGTGTTTGTAGAGAAGGTGATCAGGGTTTTTCTTCATTTCCTGAGACCAGCTGCTCTGGATCATCACCAGCTTGTATCTTCATCTTTTTTTTCCACTCGGGGAAGTCTTTCCTTTTCTTGGCCATTGCTCTGCACTGGAAAACCAAAGTGTGTGATCAAAGGTGAAATAAGGGATATTTTTCCACTGCAGGACTTAAAGTGCTTCAAGTAGTGATAGCTGTTGATCCATTTCTCAAATAATCTGTAAGGATCTGGATTTTTAAGAAAGATACAAATATCTCTGCTTATATTTGGCTAAAAGCTTGATATAGACAAGGCATATAGAGCCCCTGCACACCAGCACTGCGCTTACATTATAGTTCAATCAAGAAATAGTTATTATTGATTTATTATTGAATTTTTTAGTAATAATTTTTAGTATTTAATCACATTAGCACAGTGGGGTGACAAAAATATTCCACATACAAGAAATGCTGCTCAGCATTTCATAAATTACATTTTCAACAAATGTTGGAGTGAAAACACAGTTACAGGGAAAATGTGTCCGTCTGTAAATATTAACTAAACATTTCTATGTGCTACAAAATAGACATACTGTAATTGTAAATGTGCTGAGGTGAAACTATACTTTCAATAATTTTACCACTACAGTCTGTTAACCACCGAAATAATCTATGCTGGTCAGCTAGCTAAAAGTCTTTACTTTAGCAGCCCAAATCAGAGGCTAACAGTAGCATTTGCTAGCGTCAGCCAGTAAGGTCTGAGGCTTAAACTAGGGTTAGTGTAACTTTGCCTGAAACCCTTTAAAGTGTACAGTAGAGCCAACTGTAAAACACAGGTATTGATACAGTACTTATTAGAGTCCTAGAATAATTTCTAGAACCATGAAGTTCTCACTTTCCCAGTTATCCACATCGCTGACTTTCGCTAATTAGCTAGTTAGCAGTCACAGCTGTGTAATACCCAGAGAAGACACAGACAGCTAACTATAATATTTATGAAAACTGGTTCAGCCACTGAAGGGCAAAACTGGTGGTATCACAGTAAAAATTATTTTAACATTAATTAAAATAAAGCTTAAGTCATGTTAAACCTAAATAACAATTATTTTAAAAAATGAGTCAGCAAAATATTCCTGACTTGTCTGGAGACAGCCGAAACCAGTTAACAAATAAATTAACAATTCTTTCTAAATAAAAACACGGAGTCTTTTGAAAAACATTATTTTAATAAAACGAAACATGAGTTTTAATACTTACCACAGAAATTTGAAGGCAGTTTCTCCAACTTCAGAATCCAAAATCCAGATGAAGCCTGAAAGAAGCCTAATGGCTGCTCTTGCGCTTACTTTTCCCTCCTTTTCAGGTTCTTTTTCCCACAATGCATTGCAGTAGTTGAGAAATACAGAAAAATACCTGTAAATGACTAATACGGAAAATTCCTTCACGTTTATATAGTAGATTGTACTGTATTTTTACGGATTTTTTTTACAGTGTAGAGAATCAAAAAACCTAAAAGACAAAATTGATGGCATGTCCAAAACACTAAATCATTGGTTGACGAGAGATATTACAATTTTTGGACGCAATCTATTATCCAAATCAGAGGGCGTCTCAAAGATGGTTTATCCAGCATACTCACTATACATTACCCCGAAAAGCATTAAAAAGATTAACTCTATAATCTATCAATTCATTTGGCGCAATAAAACACATTACATTAAAAAATCACAACTTGTCAAAGATTACGCTAAAGGTGGTATAAAGTCAATTGATTTTCAATCAATAGTTGGAGTATTTAAAATAAACTGGATAAAAGCCTTCCTCTTGAAACCTGACTCCATATGGTTCCATATCCCAAAAAATATTTTCAAAAAGGTGGGAGGGTTGGATTTTCTCCTGAAATGTGATTTTGATATATTGAAGTTGCCTGTGAAACTGTCAGAATATCATAAGCAGGTCTTGTCTTATTGGAAGATGGTGTTTGCCCATAACTTTTCACCACATTGCTCCACCTTGTGGAATAACAGAACAATTACAATTAATAAGAAGTCATTGTTTATTAAAGAGTGGTTTGAAAAAAACATAATCTTTATAACAGACTTACTTGATGAAAGGGGTCAGTTTCTCTCAGTGGGTGTTTTTAATGCGAAGTTTAACATTCAGTGTTCCCTTAGAGAATATGACAAGGTTTGTAAGGCAATCCCCTTACCTCTGTTGAGTTTGATTCAAGGTTATTTGTATTACTCTAAGGCACAAATTAGTCTACCTTCTTTACATCTAAACCAGATTCCTTTGACGGATAAAAACTGTAATAATAAAACCATGAACAAGATATTTAAAAACAAATTATTTCACGACTTTAACAGTAACACGAAACTAAAAGGGAGTAATGTTAAAATAACGAACAAATATACGCACTTTTTAAAATGGCCTATCCCCCCCCAAAGTCAAAGAAATGCAATTTAAAATAATTAATGGATATTACCCAGCAGCTGAAATGCTTAAAAAAAAGGTTTGGGTTTGAGGTAGAGCCATGTGGATTTTGTTCACAAAATGCGGAAAGTATTGATCATTTGTTTTTTTCCTGCTCAGTAACAACTGACTTTTGGCAAGATCTAGTAGACTGGTTGAGTATAAGAATAGATGGGATGACCCCACTGACTCTAACACAAGTTTTATATAATAATGGTGATCCATCTAAGGAACTGTCCATGCTACACAAGGTGGTGATAATTATGGGCAAATACCACATACACAAATGCAAATGGAAAAGTAAAAGACCTTCCCTAACTGTATTGAAAATTGAATTAAAATCTTTTTTGTCATCTTTAGAATTACTGAGGGATTCATGTAAAGAGGCTGCTTTGATATGCGACAATGGGACTCAATCTCTATCCTTTTAATGATTGTGTTTTTGGTGTACTAAGTAAGCCACATGTATGTTAAAGTGTTCGCAGAAAGGAAACTGTTATATGTCATAAAAATGGCCTTCATATATTTATGTATATGTATATATGTGGTTTTTTTTGTTTTGTTTTGTTTTGTTGTTTGTTTTGTTTTTTTTCCGTTTGATTTCTTATTCAACCTTTTCAAGATGTTGTTGCACAAATGTTGTCTCCCAACGAGAGATTGTAATATGTGCATAAAAAAACAAAAAAACAAACAAACAAACAAACAAACAAACAAAACAGCTCTGCCTTCTTTTCGACTGCCCGGGACATTTAAACAATGGATAATCCGTATACAAAGAAATTCATGCTTTTCTCCACAACAGAGAGCGTCCCCCGATTGAGCAACAGCGCCGTAAAATAAGAAGAATGGCGCCTAATTACAGAGTTAATAATGCAGACTTTGTAATATCTCACGTGTAGATTCATCAGCCAGATGAAGTGTTTACTGACAATTGACAGTGATGGCGCACATCATCATCACTATTCCAACAATCCTCTCCTCACAGACAAGCATAAACACACTCGACTATCGCTAAATCAGATTTAACACACGTTTGTAATGACGATAAATCAGTTTATAATAGGGTTTATTCGCTCGGTCAGCAGGTGGCGGTATCCTCGTACACTGGGGAGTAAACTGCCATTAAACGAACAGAAGAAGAAGAAAACACCTGCACATGCGCGGTACGAATCGGGTAGACCCGATTTGTACGGTCAGACTTTACACATGCGCAGTAAGGATCGGAGAGTCCTGATCCGTAACTTTTTTATTTTTCGTTTTTGTCTACATTGTACTGAAATGCTTCATTGTTGCAAACATTTTAAGATATACTTGTTATTCTTAACATCTTAACAGATACTCTGACCTGTAACTATCGTAAAACGCTACGACCGGAAGTAGAAACCTTTCGCGCATGGGGGGTACCGATCGGGTTTCCGGTACGGATCGGGTAGTGACAGTTGTCAATATGCTAGCGGAGGAGATTATCCCCACTGCGAGAGTCACCACATTCCCAAACCAGAAACCGTGGATGGACAGATCGATCCGCACTGCAGTAAACGCCAGGACCGCCTCCTACAACGCGGGTCTCGCCACTGGCGATATGAGCGCCTACAAAGCGGCCTCATACGGCGTGCGGCGCGCGGTGAAAGATGCCAAACGCAGGTACCGGGAACGTGTGGAGTCCCGCTTCCACCAGGGCGACACACGGAGTATGTGGCACGGACTACGCACCATTACGGACTACAAAGCCAGGGACACTGCGCCGATCAACGCCGACTCTGCATTCACCAACGAGCTGAATCGGTTCTACGCCCGTTTCGAGGTTAGCCAGGCGGCTAATGCTATCTACCGCCTGACTACCGAGGACAGTGACGTCATCAGCGAGAGACCGGTGACCAGCATCGCGGAGCATGACGTCCGAGCGGCACTGAGGAGAGTGAACACAAGGAAAGCGGCGGGGCCAGACGGCATCACCGGCCGTCTGCTGCGCTGACCAGCTAGCAGGTGTGTTCACTTACATCTTCAACGAGTCCGTGGCGAAGTCTGTGGTCCCCACATGCTTCAAAAGATCCACCATCATCCCTGTGCCCAAGAACAGCAACCCCTCATCCCTGAACGATTACCGGCCAGTTGCACTGACCTCGGTAGTAATGAAGGTGTTTGAGAGGCTGCTGAAGAACATCATCTCCTCCTCCATCCCAGACACCACAGATCCGCTGCAGTTCGCCTACAGATCCAACAGATCCACAGAGGATGCCATCGCCCACGTCCTACACACCACTCTCAGCCACGTGGACAAGAAACAGGGTAACTATGTGCGAATGCTGTTTGTTGATTACAGTTCAGCGTTTAACACAATAGTGCCCTGCAGACTGTTCACAAAGCTGAGGGATCTGGGACTTAACAGCCGTCTGTGTGCATGGGTGTTGGACTTCCTCACTGGCAGAACTCAGGTGGTGAGGGTGGACAGGTGCTTCTCCAACAGCATCACCATCAACACAGGAGCACCTCAGGGATGTGTCCTCTCGCCACTGCTCTACTCCCTCTACACTTCAGACTGTGTGGCCACCCACGGCTCCAACACCATTGTGAAGTTTGCTGACGACACAGTGGTGTTGGGTGCCATCTCCAACAACGATGAGGCGGCCTACATGGATGAAGTGAAGAATCTGGCATCGTGGTGCCAGGACAACCACCTCCAGCTGAACGTCAGCAAGACCAAGGAGCTGGTGGTGGACTTCAGAAGGGGTCAGCACAGAGACCACAAGCCCATCATCATCATCAATGGAGCTCCAGTGGAGAGGGTGCAGTCCTTCAAGTATCTTGGTGTCCACATCTCCTCAGACCTGACATGGGCTGCCCACATTCAGGTCCAGACCAAAAAGGCTAGGCAGCGCCTGTATCACCTACGACAACTGAGGAAGTTCAGGGTCTCTCCAAAGATCCTCAGGATTTTCTATACAGGCGCTGTGGAGAGCATCCTCACACAGAACATGACATCGTGGTTTGGGAACAGCTGTGTGAAGGACCAAAAAGCTCTCCAGAGAGTGATCCGTACAGCAGAACGCTGCTGCAGGATTGCTCTCCCCCCGCTTCAGGACACCTACACCAGGAGATGCTGGACTAGAGCAGCGCAGATACTGAAGGACCCGTCCCATCCTGGCAACAAACTGTTCCAACTTCTGCAATCTGGTAGAAGGTTCCGCATCTTCCGGGCAAGGACAGAGAGACTCAAGAGGAGCTTCTATCCCCAAGCCATCCGTGCCCTAAACACACACACCCACCCTCTCACATCATCTATAATTGACTGAGACAGGACTCTTCCAGACACTCTAAACCAAGGCACAATGTACATTTCAACTTGGCTCATTGCTTCATGCCGATATTGAAATATTTTTACCTGAACACCCTTCACAAATCTTAAGCTCAACAACAACCTGGAAAACTGGGAAAAAACAAAAGCTTCCAAAAATGCTGAAATGAAGGTTTACAACAGGAAGACCAATCTAATTTAAAAAAATAAATAAAAGTCAAACAGGAGGAGCATCCACTGAACTGGATATGTTAGATGTAGAGTTCCTTACATTAATTTCTTTGCTTGTCAAAAACTGAGGTACTGTCAGTTTTACAGTCATCGTGTTGAATCCAAAAGCCTCAGAGAAAAAAATGAAAGAAAAAAAAAAGGAAGAAAAAGCACAGAGTATGAAAAAGATAGATTTATTTAATGACAAATTAAAACAGAAGTGGAGGACTTCAGGGAGAGCAGCAACATTACTGAGACTCCACATGAGGAGAAATGGAGAGATGATTGGCTTGAACTCCCTCAATCCTTGAACAAAAAAACAAAAACAAAAAGGGCTCGAGGGGGAAGACTTACCACACAAATGAGAGGACAGCGAGACAAATAAATGAAGAGAAAATAAAATAAAGCAACCCAACTCTGGAAGAAAAGAAACCTTCAATAGAATGACAACTTGTTTTTTTTTTTTTTTTTTTTAAACTACAAACACTGAAGTTTAGCCACAACTTTTACAATTGCCTTTTAATGTTTGTTTTTAAAATTCAATACAAAAACCGATAATTGTCATAATCTCCATGTAATAATAACAATAGCAACATTGTAACGGTAGAAACTGTCCCTCATTCCTTGTTGGGTGATCAGTCAATCGGTGAGGCAGACACGGGCAGACAGAGAAACGAGGCCGAGCACAAACGAAAGAGACGTGAGAAAATGAGCAGGTTTTCAGCAAAGACAGTGCACACGCGCGCACACAAAAAAACAAAACAAAAAAAACCCACTAATAGTTCCAAAGAAATAGACTTGAGAAATAATTCTTCCAACTGAAATGCAGTGTTTAGGTTTTTTCCTCCTTGTTCTAAAAAACAAAAAGGACCCCTTTGTTCCTAGGTCAATTTATTACACCTGCACACAGAGCCTGTAATGCAAAGAGCAATGTGCGTTTGGCATGTCAGAAAGCCGTTGATGTGTCCACTTTGAAAATAAAACTCCAGGGCTGACGTAGCTGAGGGCCTTCTTACATCCAACCAGTATGACAGCAAAGTTTAATAATTGATGATGACAGTCAACAATTTAATAACAAGCATCCGATGCTCAATCTTTAGCTTTGGGGGGAGGAACCGGTGTGGAGCAGAAGAAAGCAAAACGAGCTCGCACAGCTGTAGTAATCCCGGGACCCTTTACACAGATCCAAGCTTCTTTTCCTGGACGTTACTTGGGGATTGGGGTGCTACAGCCATTCATGTCTGTGAGTGATGATCCCCAGTCACAGGCGAAGATACATTTTAGATAAAGATTTTTAGGGACTCAGGGTTCCAGTTTGAAATAGTCAATAGCAGCCACAGCCATAGCCCTGCGAGGGTGGGGAGCGTGGGAACCGTTCCAGTCCGAGTGAGGGAAAGTGTGGGGGGACTTGAGGGGTACTGAGGTGGATTACAAACAGGAAGTGCTAGCTGTCTTGCAAGCACTCCAGCACTGACCAGGAGTCCGTTTTGAACTATAGCTTGATCCTTCAAGTCAGGGACTGGAGCCCCTTCCACGTTCCGCTCGGGAAGAGCCGTAGTGTCTGAAATGTGTGTGTGTGTGTGTGTGTGTGTGAGTGTGTGAGTGTGTGTGAGAGAGAGAGTGCGATGAGAATGAGTTGTGAGAAATCACTCTAAGACAGGGACACGTGGCCAGGAAGGGAGTTTGACAGTTTGTGTCCGCGTTTACGACGAACAGAGGGCGAGGCCCCGCATGGGTCTCACATAATGTGTTTCCAAGTCTATAGCCGTCACTACACAGTTATGCTATTTTGTTTCATTTCCTCCACTCATCCATCCAAACATTCAGCCCCCCCCCCCCCCAGGCCTCCATGGCTGCCTAATTAGACAGTCCAAATCCATGTCTGAAGGAGTGAGGCAGAGAGGGGTGGGGCACTGTGAGGTCTAATAAAAAAAAGAAAACAAAGAAAAAAAAAATGCCCCCTAACAATATGTAACTTGTTTGTTTGTTTTTTTTAAATCCTCTTCTCTTCAAAGTTTTTAGCACATGGAGATGGTGACGTTGATTCCCAGGTTGCCGTTCTCAGCAAACAGTTGTGCGATGGATGTGTCGAACACCAGGCAGTCGCTGTTCATGATAGCTGTGGCGATGCCCTCGTGGATGGAGCGTGGCGTGGCCTCCCAGGTCAGACGACGCCGGTGCCCGTTGAGCTCCAGTCGGTAGGCGAAGTTCTCGGCCTGCTTGCGAGTCCCAATGAGCTGCACGATGGCAAAGAACTGCTGGTGTCCGTCGTACTTCTCCTGCTTCTCCAGCACAAGCATGAAGTGGAAGCCGAAGCACGACTGCATCATTACCCAGTCCACCGCACCAGGCAGGTTGATATCTGTGGCCAGGAACACGATGTCCTCCCCCTGGACGGAGACACAAACAGGGTTAATCATCTTTAGTTGTCAGCCTGAAGTTAACACCCAACGCTGCTCACATAAAGATCTTTTACATCATCATGATCTCAAAATAAATACATGTTATAAAACAAGCTGCAAAAGGAACAAGCCGTTTGTTGTTCTCATGTTAAACGCAATTTTCTGGAATAATCTGGCCAGTATTTGACAGGGAGTATGCTCTTGATACCAACCACACCGTTATGAGACCTCGACCACTGGAAAGTTCAAAGGTGTGCCAGACCGCGACTTTCGGACTCGGGAGACTGAGAAACACATTAAAGTTGACATAATGACTTATGCACTTGTCTTTTTGAAAGGGGTTGTGATTTGCACTTGTCATCCGGCTGTCTTGTTGCAGGCTGACTTTTAGCATAACAGTAAAGAACAAGCAGAGACAAGTCTCCATGCAACCCCCACCTTTTGCACAATGGACACGTCGACTCATTGTTAACATCAAACCATCTAAAATTCTCAAGACCAAGTAAGATATGAGCCACTGAGTAATCATTAGTGTTGTCTTGCAGTCCAATCTTACAGCTTTAAAAACAAATTTCTAAGACAATTACGCCAAAAGTCATCCCACGAATTAAAAGGCTAAACCACTTTCAACAAAAAAAAAAAAAAAAAAAAAAAGAAGTACTGTAGTACTGCTGGCTGCAGTAGCATGCCAACTTTAATACGTCAGTGTTGCCAGATAAGATAACCACCATCATGGATGTTCTCGTTGTAGGGGCAAAGATCCTCCATGGTTTCAGAACAGATCATACAACTATATGTACAAGCCGCTCAGGCTTTGCATGACATCAGTGAGAGATGATTTCCTTATGTGGTGATCTCAGGCAGCTTCAGCTGTGAGCACAAAAGCTCACCTGTTGCCAGAGAAGCTCCGCCCACCTAGCAGTGGTGTAAACTACTGGAGTGTTCCTTCAATTTAAAAGTAATCATGATATTAAAATGAACAAATTCTGCAGGCTATAACAACTCATTTGTAAATTAACACACATTTACACAGTATGTTGTTTCCTTTGCTGTCCAGCAGAGGGCACACTCAAAATTCCCCATCAGCTTAGTGGGATGGAGTATGAAATGTTTTCCATGTTTCCACTTCATTTGAACAAACTCTACGCTGTTTATTCAGACTTTTATTTCTAGTTTATTTCTAAGTCACAAACTTAATTGCAAACCCTGTACGATCCGTGTTTAAATAGCATCAATTCAGATAGTCTTCAAAGTGTCTCATCCTCACTTAGTAAAAATGGCACACACTTTTAGGAGCATGTTTTGTGGAAGAAACTGAGGAGCTGAGTAACTTCTAACCTGCAGTGTGGTGATGGACTTGTGCTGGTGCATCAGGTGAGGCATGACTGCATCCAATGATCCCTGCCACTTGCAAGAGGCGCCGGGGCAGGGGCAGGAATACGGCCGAAACTCGCAAAGCTCTTCGTGCTCGGTCTTGTCGGTATGAGGCAAGGTGACTTCGCAGCCTGATGAGGCATACTTGCAGGGGAAAAGGACAGAGTTGGCCACCTTCTCCATGGCCAGGTTCCTGATGGAACCCAGGGGACCTCGGCAGGTGGGGCAACAAGTGAGCTTAGGCCGGCAGTTGGAGCACACCTGGGGATGAAGAAAAATAACATTTTTTTTTTTTTAAATTTATTTATATACACACGAGTATGTTCATGACAAGTTTACTAAAATGTTAATCTTCACAATTATGCTTCTGCAAGAAATTTTCCTAGCAACAACAACAAACAGTTCAGGTTCAGTTACAGGCTGGACTGTACACACCAGGTGTCCGGACTGGCACTGGAGGATTGGGGGGAGGACATAGTCGAAGCAGACAGGACACTCAAACAGGCTCGCCAGGTCACTGTTGGAGGCTGTGGTGCCTGAAAGGGTGGGCACACGCTGAGAAGGAGGGCACTTAGATGTTCCTGTGGGCAGCGCGGTGGCAGTCTGGCGACTCATTTCTGACAAGAGAGGAGGATGGTTATGATAAAGCCATAAGCACATCATATTTTACCATACCATTACCAAGCCTTAGTTAAAAGATAAGTATGACTAATTGTCTAGCCCTCCCTTTGTTGGCAGCTCTTACTCTACATCGGAGTCAAAACAGGTCACTGAGGTGGAAGAAACAGACAAGACAACGGACATGAAGGACAAACATCACTGTGTTTGATGCTGGTTGCAGAGCATGCAATTTGTTTAAAAACATGTAAATGAAAATATACCAAAAATTATAGGGGTGCAACGATACTCGTATGGATATTGAACTGTTCGATACAGTGCTTTCGGTTCGGTACGCACATGTACCAAACAATACAAAATTTTACATTTTATCAACTTTCCTTCTGATGATGCTTTCTGTGTTAAGCGCTCAGTGGATCTGCGCTCGACAGTGCAGCCTAGGCGGAGTAGTCGAACGCAGATTCACTGAGCGCAGGGCAAGCTAGCGAGACAGAAGCTAAGCTCGTTGCAACATGGCAAACTGAACCTCCCCCACCCTCATTCAGATCTGGCGTTTGGAACTATTTTGGTTTTCATGTGACGTATAACCCTGAAGGTAAGCGCGTCATGGACTAAATCAATCAATCTTTATTTATAAAGCACTTTTCATACAAAAAATGTAGCACAAAGTTAAAAGCAGCCCACCCCACCCTCCAACTCACTCCCCACACTCTCATTAACATAAATGATGTGAATACACACATATCTCACCCCCCACCCCACCACACACACACACACACACACACACTTAAAGAGTAAAAATTGGGCTGGGTTCACATGAGCCAAGTGAGGAAACACTATAACAGGGAGCCGTCTGCACCGGGAGCCGGTAACAGACCGCAGCCTCCAGGCTGGGCACACAGCAGGAGGGAGGCAAAGAAGCCCCCCAGCCAGGCTGAGAGGACCCCCAGAGACCCAGCAGCCACGGTCGATCACAGCCCCGGTGCAGAGAGTCCCCTCCGAGGAAACACTGGAGATATGACACAATAGGATATATACAGGGTAAAATGATAAAATAAATAAGAACGGGATACAATATAAATAGAGTAAGAAGATTAAAAAAATGAATAAGAATAAAATCAATAAATATTAGGTAAAGCCTAAATTAATAATAAAATAACGGGATAGAATAAATAAGCATAAAATAAATAAACGCTAAGTAAAAGCTAAATTAAAAAGGTGGGTCTTGAGCCTGTTGTTAGAAACATGTACGTTCTCTGCGGCCCTGAGCTCCTCCGGCAGGCTGTTCCACAGACGAGGACCATACCACTGAAAAGCTGCCTCTCCGTGAGTATGTGTCCTGACTTTAGGGACAATCAAAAGGCCAGTACCAGAGGACCTCAGGGTCCGCGAGGGTTCATATGGTAAAGGCAGATCTGAGAGATAAGAAGGCCCAAGACCATTAAGACATTTAAAAACCAATAAAAGAACTTTAAAATCGATCCTGAAACACACGGGGAGCCAGTGCAGCAATTCTAAAACCGGTGTAATGTGGGCCCGCCCTCTGGTCTTCGTCAGCACACGAGCTGCCGAGTTTTGCAAAAGTTGTAAAGTTGAAATATTCTTCTTAGGAAGACCAGAGAGCAGGGCAGTAATCAATGCGACTGGTAATAAAAGCATGCATCAACATCTGTGTTAGCCCGAGAGAGAATAGGGCGGACTCTGGCTATATTTTTTAGATGATAAAATCCAATTTTGGTTACATGTTTAATATGTGGGATAAAACCAAGCTCAGAGTCAAAAATAACACCCAGGTTTTTCACTTGTAGCGAAGGACATAGTGAAAATGCCTCTAATTTAGACAAGAGTTTCTCTCTCTGAGCCTCAGGACCGACGATTAAAACTTCGGTTTTGTCCTGGTTAAGCTGTAAAAAGTTTTCTGCCATCCAAGATCTTATATCTAAAATACAGTTAAAAAGGGCATCCATTGGTCTGGTGTCATCAGGAGACACGGAGATGTACAGCTGCGTGTCATCAGCGTAACTGTGGAAGTTCACTCCATGCCTCCTGATGACACCGTCAGCATATACAAATTAAAAAGTACAGGGCCTAGAACGGACTCTTGAGGCACACCACATGTCATTTTATGGATCTTAGAGGAACATGTATCCATACTCACCATAAAAGATCTGTCAGAGAGACAGGAAGTGAACCAGTTGTGTACAGCACCAGAGAGGCCCACCATGTGTTTCAGTCTGTTTAAAAGAACAGCGTGGTCTACTGTATCAAAGGCTGTGCTTAGATCCAGTAGCACCAGGACTGAGAGCTTTTGGGCGTCCCAGTTACATCTAAGATCATTTAAAACCTTTAGGAGAGCCGTCTCTGTGCTGTGGTTCACCCTAAATCCAGACTGGAATATCTCCAGGATCTGTCTATCATTTAGAAAATCATTAATCTGAGTAAAAACAAGTTTTTCTAAGATTTTACTTAAAAATGGTGAGTTGGATACAGGTCTGTAGTTATTAAAATCATTACAATCCAAATTGCTCTTCTTCAGAAGGGGTCTCACCACCGCCGTTTTAAAGGCAGCAGGGAAGACACCCAACTGAAGAGAGCAATTCATCATGTATAAAAGCTCAGCCTCAAAAAATCCATAAAGTGTTTTAAAGAGTGAAGAAGGGATTGGATCTAAAGGACATGTGGTGGGTCTCACTGTGGAGAAAACTTTCTGAAGGTTCTCAGCATTAACCAGGACAAAGCTGTCCAGTGTCTCCTCAGGTACAATCGAGCCCTCAGATGTCTTTACAAACATATCGCGATTAGATAAAATATCAGATCTGATGGCGCTGATCTTTCCCCTGAAGTGGTCTGCAAACTGCTCACAGAGCGAGTCTGTGGGGGTTCTTTGGGAGCTGTTAAAATCAGGGTTAAATAAATGATCTATGGTGGAAAAGAGGACCTTGGGATTATTTTTGTTATTACTGATTATTTTGGCGAAGTATGAGTTTCTTGAATTCCTTAATGTATTATTGTACATTTTAAGTTGCTCGCAAAATATTTGATGGTTGATAGTATTTTTAATTTTTCCTCCATCTCCTTTCTGCTGCCCTGCAATTTCTTTTGAGTGTTTTGACTTCTTCGTTTCTCCAGGGTGATACATGTTTTACGTTAATCTTTTTGGTGGTGAGTGGAGCAATGGAGTCAAGGCTTTTCTTCAGTTTGCTGTTGAAATGATTAAAAATCAAATTGCAGGGTGCAGGTAGAATCACAGGGGGGCATTCGTCTAAAACCCTGGTAAAATTTGCAGCCACTTCAGAGGTTAGATAGCGCCTCCTCACAGTTCGCACCGAGGTCTCCCGCTGAATAAAACCGGTGATGTTAAAAAAATAAAAATAAAAAAAAAAACACACTGAGACAGCCAAGTCAACAACAGAGGACACGCTGGTGGACAGCCCATGGGTGATGACCAGGTCCAGAGTGTGTCCTCTGTTGTGAGTTGGCTGCGTGACATGCTGGGTAAAATCCAAACAGTGAAAAATGTTTAAGAATTCTTTTGATGCAGAGTCAGAAGGATTATCTATGTGCAGGTTAAAATCACCGGTTAAAATTATATTATATTTTGAATGTATGTTTGTTAAAAATTCTGAGAATTCCTTGATAAAAGCAGCGCTGTCTTTAGGTGGTCTATAAATTGTGACAGATAAAACTGGAGGGCTGCTGAAAACAATAGCATGGAATTCAAAAGTGGTAAAATGATCAAATAAAATTTGTTTGGAGGTGAGTGTGTTGTTGGCCAAAGATGCAGTCCCACCACCTCTCTTACCACTTCTAATAAAAAAAGAGAAATTAAAATTTGGTGGGGAGCCCTCAGTGAGAACAACTGGTGCATCCGAACCCAGCCATGTTTCAGTTAAAAATAAACAGTCAAGTTTATTATCTAAAATTAAATCATTAATAATAAAAGACTTGTTCAACAGAGAGCGGACATTTAAAAGTGCCATACTGATTGAGACTGGTGGATTTTTGACAATAGAGTTGAATGGATGTTGATATTTAGGTTATTAATGTTTTTGGAGTTACTGGATTTATGATAATTCTGTTGCTCTGTTTGTGATTATGACGGGTATTGTGTTGACTGTGGGAAAGAGAGGTCCGAGTCCAAAGTTTTGTGTATTACTGTTAAAAGTGGAACAAATATAGGAGCTGGGACCAAGGGAACATCAGTCAGTGGCAGACAGATCAGCAGGTAATGTCAATTTGGGGTAGTGACAGGGCGGTGTGCGGGAGTGCTGTACGCCAAATGCCAAATTGGTAGACAGCAAACGGCGTCCCCAGGCGTTGAGGTGGAGCCCGTCTGCCCCAAAAAGATGCCTCCTCTCCCAGAAGGCATCAAAATTGTTAAAAAAAACCCACGCCGTGGGAGACACAGGCGGAGGAAAGCCAGGTGTTGAGGCTGAGCAGCCGGCTGAAACGGCCTATCCCTCTGCCACAGGTGGGGGTGGGCCCGGAGATAAAAGCACTCACCTGCAACTGACCAAGGAGGCTGAAGAGTTGGAGGAAGTCCAACTTCAGCAGCTCAGATTGCTGTTTGGGGATGTCATTGGTGCCGATGTGGATGATGAGCCGGTTAACCTGTGGGTGGGATGCCAGAATGTTGGGAATTCTGTCCACTATGTCAACAACAGTGGCTCCCGGGAACGACAGCGTGAGCGCCCCCCTCATCCACACGTTCCTGACGATGGAATCCCCGAGGACCAGTGTGGAGAGAGGAGGTGCCACCGGGGGCTGCTGGCCATCTGAGACGCCTGCGCCGTGGCACCGGGGGTGTTCAGATGGAGATGCGCCAGCCGGACTGCGTGAGTGACTCCCAGGTAGCCGCGCCGTGGGTCCTCTTCTCCGAGGAGCCAGGGTAAAGCACAGCTCTCCGCGGTGAGTTTGCACCACAGCGTCGGGTTGCCCACCGCGGCTCCGGGGGCGTAGTGGTGGAGATGGCGCAGACCTCAGCGACACAGCGGGATGG